CAAATCGTAATTTTTTTCTTTCTAGATTATGGAAGAATTATCATTTTTTATAGGAGATATTATAGTTTTTCATATTATTATATTACTAATTAATAAAATATTGAATATATTACACAATGCATGAACAAAAATGATATTTAACGAGAATCGCGAGTAATTAAACATGTTATGTCAGTTAATTATAGATATAATTTATCCTATATATCCTTTTGATAGCTTATGTGTAAATTATTGATGAATATAATTAAATGAATCTATCATATCTTTGTATTCAGTGACTGGAAATCAAATGCAACTACAAAGAAGAATTAAATGTTAAATAATGAATGTGATCACAATTGCACTTACGGAAATATCGAACTATCCATCGATCAATTTTATTCAAGCCATAAAAATCACGAATAAAATAATTTGATCGTCGATATGCAAATAATTGACAGATTCTGAGCGTCCTTAATCCTTTCGGATCGCGTACCAGCGACCTTACTTTATTGGTTTGGACGTTCGCGCGCGGCTGGGACGAAAATAAAAATAATAAAGTGGATGTGAGGTGTGAGTGTGGGAGAATATATTACTGGCGGGAACATTAAAGTCGTGTCAGCGTCTGTGATGATATTCCACGGGAATATTCCTTATCCTTTCATCTAGCTTTTGCATACAGATCAAAATGCGCATCTAGCTTTTGATTATAATAGAGATGCTCATAGACTGTTTATTTATTATTTCATACATCAAAAAAGAAGTATACGAAAGTAACGAAAGTAAAATTTTTGAGTAAAAAATATCAGTTAATTTTTGGTAATGATATAATCTATTGTCTTTTCTTTAAACAGAACCGATATAAATTTATCAATGTAAATAATAATATAGAAAAGCCTTTTTCATATAAAAATTATTATTAGATAAATATTTCCTTAATGATTTGATGACAAAACTTTTTTTAATACTAATTTATATTTTTTAATACTAATTTATATTTATATTTATATTTTAATACTAATTTTATATGTTATTATTAACGAGTAAAAAATTGATATAATTTCACATATAATTTTAATGGCGTGTAATGGCGTGGAATTGGCGATGAAATTAATTGTATCTTGCAGTGAGCTGAAAATTGAGATATACGCTTATAAAAATTTATCACGGCAATAACATCGCCTTTGGCGACCCGGTTGGCGCGTTGCGAGCGTTAAACGCCAATCAGGCAAGTTTCTCTTGTGCAGCGGCACACTGATAACTCCATTACGAGGCGCAACATAGCTACCTGACTTGTTAGACACTTTGAATCATAATATTAAATTGATGTGTCACTCATATCGACTTTCTTGTAGTTGCATTTATAACGCTCATCCATCTCCTTTCATTTTCCAGGACAAAACAGAACAACTGAGTCAAATATGGACCAAATTCAACACGTGGGAACATATATGTAAAATAACGATGCATAAGTAGCTCTTAGTTAAGTTAATTTTTACACAATCTTTTATATAACATTTGCAAAATTTTGTATCGCGATACGTACTACTTATTGCGTTACTGTGCACTGTTCTCGTTCAAATCTAATAATTCTATTTTATTTCACACTTTATTTAATCTGTGCTGCTGGTAACGATATGAGTAGTACACTGAAATCTCTCTAACATTAAATTCACTCCCTTCTGCAGGCGAATCTAAGGATTAAAGCGCATTATACGCAGACGCCTGATTGCCTCTATGAGAAGCGAAGATTCTAATGCGAAGTCGAGTATCCACGCTGTTGCGCTCGAAAGAGGAGTCGTCGCACGAAAGTTTGCCCATGACAACTTCGCGACGGAAAACGACGGAAGTTAGGTACATTTATCGCTCTCCCTCCCCTCTCCAGTCGGATGCACGCAATACGAGCGAGGTGTATCCATCATATGGGCGCGTGCCCGCGCTCGACATGAAGCGGAATCAAGTTCGAAACCCGGCGAGCTTTTCCGCTCGAGTACAATGAGCAATAGTGGCGCGGCCTTACCCAACAAGTTTCGAAAGTGATGAGCGAAAAGGCGAGGCGATAAAACTTGACATCAGCGCGGTGCAAAGTTGGCGAAATGGCACCCTCCTTTCTCTCTCTCTCTCTCTCTCTCTCTCTCTCTCTCTC